CCCCGCATCAAACCAGGCTGCCGCTTTTATCGAATGCGCTTAAGGAGCGAGATAGCGTCAGCGAGAGTGACGGAACAGGTTCCTTTTAAAAGCAAAGCGAGGAAAGCGAAAGCAAGTTTGACAAGGTCGTATCACAGCAAAATACGGTCTGTCTGCCACTTATTCTTTTCTGTTTTAGGTTTAGCGTATGCTTCTGGCTTAGCTGCCACTTTGAATATTACTCACCTATTAAAGGCAGGGGATACGATTATCTGCATGGATGATGTCTATGGAGGTATGTAAAGCGCAAGGGCGGTTTTGATCTTTGTTGTGCAAATGACTAAATGTCCCTATTTGTGATTCTCATGAACTTTCTGAATTTCCCATGTAGGACCTGACTTTTCTTTAAAGCCTTTTCACTTCCTGAGGACACAGAACACTCCTGTCTGATTTTGGTGTTAGAAATTCAAACGCTGAAAGATTCTGCGGCATAACGTGGAGGTTTAAAAAACACAGCTAATTAGGAATATATGCTTAGAAGAGGGGAAACTAGCCACATCGTAGCCTTGCCTGGGTTGGTGTGCAGAGCGGGACCTGCTGCAGTCCGATGTGACACAGCTTTCCAGCTCCTGGGATTTCTGCTGTTCCTTTCCGAGGTTTGGGCCTTTTTCAGACAACTATTCCATCATCTTCCCTGAAAGCACAACTTGCATCTGTTTTGCCCGTGTCTTCTGAATGCTCAGGGACACTGAGCGCTCGGTTCTCGCTGCCCGTCGGTTCTCTGTGCTTGTTCACATCCAATATGAATACACACATTTGCTTTTAACGTCTTAGTTCCGTCATGGCAGATAGCTCTTCTCCAAAGTACGTCTGCAGCCAAGCTGAGTGAAGACAGCAGGGATCCCTACTGACAATGTGCTCCTTTAATTCATGGCCTTCCCCCTACAGAACTTGGGAAATCAGCGTCATTTTGCCCGCGTGTATTATCAGTTCCTCGCTTCAGAAAGGCCCAGAGGTGTATTTGTCAAGCCAAACCAGTTCACCTGCTCATTAAACCCTCAGCCGGTGGTGGTTTCTGCAGAGATGAATTTCATTCTTTCTTCCCTGATTTTTTTCCCATACTTTGGTTGTAAAGAGAGTGGCTTCCCCCCAGTCAGCCTTATTCAGCAGAGCTCCCACACCATGAGTAGGTACGTCTGCAGATCTGCCACTGGCCACCGTGGCTAGTATGTGCCCAGTCCCTTTGCTCTTCCCTCTGGTCTGAGGGGCTCTGTGTCCTCTACGTCCCTGCTGGCTGTCCCTGGGCATCTTGCGTTCTTGCACGCTGCAGCCCGGTCCTTTGTCGGCCCCTTCCTCACCATTGCCGGCGCTGACTCCTTTTTGCTGTGCGGGCTTACTGCTCCACCGCGCTTGCCCTGTGCGGCCTGGCTCGCTTCAGCCCTGTAACAGCACAGAATCGTGGAATGGTCTGGGCTGGAAGGGGCAGGGTTCAAGAAGGACAGGGAACTGCTGGAGAGGGTCCAGCAAAGGGCTACGGAGATGCTGAGGGGACTGGAGCATCTCTCTGCTGAGGAAAGGCTGAGGGACGTGGGGCTGTTCAGTCTGGAGAAGAGAAGACTGAGGGGGATCTCATCAATGCTGATCA